AAAAGGCATTATGCAATGAAAATGCGTTAATGCAGATATGAGGATCAAAATATATACTTTAAAGTAAACATGGATGTACCATTCACATTGGCCATGAGCCAGGTCCAGATTTAACCTGGAGCAGGCACAGTGGCAGCTCTGGAGCACCCGCATTGAGGGGACTCCTGCACTTGCCATAGAAATGCAACTAAGAACGAAAACAGAAAAACAAAAAAGAAAAGAAGGGAAAAGGCGTTCAAATGTCGTATATTCTCTTTTGTTCTCGAAGCCGAGAAATGCTACACGAGTTTACTGCCCACAAAATCCCATACATTAAGGACGCACTCGAGAAAGAGGCTACTCGGTATTCTTGAAACCATTAAACCTTGTTGCAAGCAGACTGAAATTTTCCTTATTTTGTGCGCTATTGTTCCTGGCTTGTCTTCTCAGATATCAGCAATTATATTGTGTTATACTACCTTAGTCGGTTTCCTTGAACTCAACCCGAGCCTGCTCTCGATAGTCACATATCCAGACGCGAAGTTTTGTTACTGGTGATACTGCCTTACAAATTATCGAATTTATCTGAACGCATGTTCTCTTTACTACCTTTCCTTGCTTGCGGGAAAAATTATTCAGTCGCGGACCGAGGCAGGATTTTGGTTCTTTTATTGGAGAAGGGGCACAAGATAGTGAAAAATTCCCTTAAAATTCCCCAAATGGCATATAAGTAGTAACCCCCAGACATTTTAAAAATTTATCAAAAACTGCTCCAATTTTTTTCTTTAAATTTCTTGTAGCAGTAGAGTAAAATACACTTACAGGTCCGATTTTCAGGTTTAACACTAAATTTTCGAAAATTTCAAAATTTGACTGTCTTCCTACAACTTGAAAATTGAAGATAGAGATTTTTCTCTGAAATAAAATCTGTTCTCCATAGTAAGTATTTTCATTAAGGTCATGTACATTTTTTTGAAAACTAGTAGTTTTCGTGCAATATTGCGTGCTATGTATGCAATTTTAAAACATTACAAAAACAAGATTTTCTCAAAAATGACTCCAAATTTTTTCTTGAAACTTTTGGTACTAAATGTACTTTATAAGAAGACGTAAACGTCATGTTGCTCTATTCTTTTGTTTTCTCAAAAATTACAAAAATGTAT